TGGAGGTCAAGGTCATTTATGGATGAAGGTCAAGGTTAGTGGGGTCTACTGAAAGGTCTTGTCCCAAGGGTTGTTGTGGCCAAGTATGAAGACAATACACCAAGAAATAAAAAAGTTATGATCCAGGTACAAGTTTGCGGATGGGAAAGGCAACGCCGCCGCGACTATAGCAATACCTCTACTTTTTTTTTCAAAAAAAAAAAAAAGTCGAGCTAAAAATAGATGATTGTTTCATTCGTTATTTTTTTTTTTATATAACACCAGTTAGATGGGTTAATATTTATTACAATCAGTAACAAAGTATGTTTTAAAAAAGCTGCAATTTAACATTGTAAAATTCAAAAGAATTAAGATACACCAATCAAAGGATTAGTGTCACTATTGTAATGCTGTAAGGGGATAATCGTTCGTTATTAGCGTTCTAGAATAGTTTATAAAAACTAGACAATAAGATTATATAACAAGAACTGTCGCAGGACAGTATTGGCTCGACTATTCGAAAAGTTGTCTCAAGGGTGTTTTATTGATTGTCACAAGGGTGTTTTATTGAGTATAATAATGCTAATTACCTATGAATACATAAAATTGACCGAAAAGGTACAAAGGCTTGTTGTTAAGATGTTTTATCAAGTAAATCACTGCTTTATTATTATGAATGCATAAAATTGTCCCAAAAAAGGCACAAACCCTTCAGTAGTTACGGAGATAACAGCTTACAAGCAAAACTTTACCATGAATTTCTAAGTTGAAAAAGGGGAGAAAAATCAGCCTAAATGCAAGATAGAATTATGGAACTTGGTCAGTGACATACAATAATGACCCTCCAATTATGACCCTAAGTAAATGTGTAAAGTTTCAAGTAAATATCTTTGAAGACCTTTAATCAAAGTTTCAAAGGGGCAAATAATTCTGCAAATATTGCAGGCAGAGTAATGCAATTTTGCAAACTGATGTACATTGTTACTATAAAAAATAGGGCTGGAAACGAATAAGGAATTTGATGTTCGAATATTCGTTTTTCATATTCGAATAAATTCGAATATTCGTTTTTACAACATTTGTTCCAATATTTCTCTTTGACCTATACGTATCCGAAATTGATTGCGTCGAATACTATACTACTTTAAAATGCTTGGAATAATCAACAATTAAAAATATATTTATAACTATGTAAAAGTTTTTTGTTTTATATATTGTAAATCGACGTATATATTTACTTTTGAAATAAATTCATAATTTGATTTCCTTCAAGTTGATCCGACTGCTGATCATTTGTCTTATAAACGGTAGGTTACAACGCACGTGACTTGATTGACCGTAATATGAATCATCACACATAATTATATTGAAACTTAACTTGTATTAAATTTTTTTTTTATTTATTTATAATTTTAGATAAGGTTTGAAATATAATTCAGATAAATTTAGCTATAACGCAGTAAATATCACACGGAGTCTAATTTCTACGGAATAAATATATTCTGACGGAGTACAGACACTTACCATGCTTTCATAAAGCACCGATTAATGCGTGTCGATTTTTTCGTCTTCACAAAATTTAAGACAATTATTGATTAATCGGAATGATTTTAGCACAGAAAACAATAAATAAGATAATTAAAATCGGAAAGAATTACATTAGAAACTGTTAAACAGGTCAACTGCAAACTGTGAAACGGGTTCTAGACCCCAAAGTTTTCACAGTTAATTGGCGATAATCGTTGACACATGTCATACAAACGTGTTAACACCTGGTCAAGTAAAGGTCACAGGTTTAATTTACGAACTTAATTGAAATTTGAAAGTAATAAAAAAAAAAAATCTTTTTTTTTGAATATTCGTATTCGTTTTTCAATGTTCGAATATTCGGTAGTGTTTCAAATATTCGAATATTCAAATAAAATTCCCGGCCCTAATAAAAAAGTATTGTAAATTTCAATTGAATATCTCAAGCAATAATTGAGATATTTGACTTTACAAAAAAACTTTAACCAAAATTTCTAAGTTAAAAAGGGGCATAATTCTGTATATATTGTAGGCAGAGTTATCCAACTTGTCAATCTGATGTACATTGTTACTATAAATAAGTATTGTAAGTTTCAAATGAATATCTCAAGCAATAATTGAGATATTTGACTTTACAAAAAACTTTAACCAGAATTTCTAAGTTAAAAAGGGGCATAATTCTGTCAATATTGTAGGCAAAGTTATCCAACTTGTCAATCTGATGTACCTTGTTACTATAAATAAGTATTGTAAGTTTCAATTGAATATCTCAAGCAATAATTGAGATATTTGACTTTACAAAAAACTTTAACCAACGCAGACGCCGGCGTGGACGCCGACACCGACGCCGGCGTGGACGCCGACACCGACTACAATAGCTGTCATATTCTTTGAATAGCCAAGCTAAAAATGTAAAATTTCTGGCTACAAAGTAGATTATTTTAGATTTTTTTTTATCGGGACATAAATCATCTCCGGGACAGACACCTTATTTCCGGCACTTTCCCGGACATCCGGGACGTTATGGCATGTATGATTGAAGTTTACAAAGGGAAAATATGTAGATATTTTTATTTCTTTACAATGATAAACAAAATAATTCGAGAACAACTCTGTCATATATTACTAGACTGTATTGGACACATATACATTTGATCGTGTACGAATATATAGATCTAATGATAAATAGACTGTAGTCATGTATATATATCTTAACTCATAATGGTAATTTTATAAATTTTTGTTGTCAAAACAGAGATGATTCTGTGACTGAAGGACTGCCACATATAACAAGATTTATCTAGACCCGGTCCGGCCTGAACCCACGATCTCTCGGGCAAGGGGCATGCATTTCAACACCACTAGATCTAGGACACTGCGGTTTTTTAAGTTAACATGGCAGTCAATGTTAAGATTTACATGTATTTCGCATCACAGTTCAGGCTTCAGATAGTTTAAATAGCAGACATATACGCAGGCCGTCCTCTCTAGATCTATATATACTTGCAGTCAGCTGATTTTATTTTATCTAATTCATATAGCTATTTTTTTTTAATTTATTTATTTATCCTAGTTAATTCCGATATACACCTTAAGAAAACAATGAACCATTCCAAACCTTAAGTTGGACAAGTCCATTTTATAAACTTATAGAGAACGGGACTCTATATATCAAATAATATATTCTATTAAACAGCTGAGAACTTTTTTATTATTTGACTGTCCGATAATCCCCATATAAAAAATTTATTAAATATTATACGTGGGGTTAATCGGACAGATATGTTTTCATTATTTTATGCTAAAATGCAGATACAAATCAACATAAATTGATTTCTTTATATCTTTTAACCCATTACTCCATGAGCATTTTGTGAAAAATGGCTGTTTTCATTGAAAAGTCTCCCGTTACAAGTTCAAATTGCTATAAAACTATAATCAAAGGGCTGCAAGCTCTGTGGTATTTTCTGATCTTTGCAATCTAAATCATACTGACTATCTGTATGTATTTTCCTATATAAGTTTATTTTTATATACTATAATACATCTTACGCAGCGACTGCGTTAAGATTTTTTTCTATAACAGTTTGAGATTGATACATATGGAATTTTGCATGACTAGAGTTGCATCAAAAATCATTTTTTATGATAGCCACACTTTATCCTTGCATATCGTAATCCTTATCAATTTCGAGGTATTTTGTTCACGATAAACCTGTTTAACACTGATAAAAATAATTTAGCGAAAATCTTCTCGCCAAAACAGTCCGACATGTATACATTCCACTACTCGGCAGTCACATTTATTTGTATACTACGCCCTGGAGTATTCAGTAATTGACATAGCTAAAAATAACATTTTCATTGATTAAAATGATATTCATCCGCGAAATTTGTGATTGTAACCTCATATTTCTATTGACTAATCTGAACTTTCAATGCACTGTAATTCGTTAAATGCCTACATTAAAAATTATTCTGTCTTTTAAATTGCTGGTTTTTAAGCAGTTTTGAGTGAGAACTACTTTGCGTTGTTAGGTCTGTTAGGAAATTTTGTGTTAGACCGTGGATGTTAGCTATGTATTTACTGATCTTGCGATCAGAAAATACAAAAATTGCTTCAATACTTATCAAACTTGGCACAAATGTTCACTGGACCATTGCCTTTGTAACAACATGCTCAGGCTTAAATTTCCTGTTATCATGGCAACGAGGGGACATCTCAAAATTGCCAAAACTCATAATTTTGTGGGATTTTTTCCATCAAAATTGATTTCAAAGTGCTGCAACTTCTCAATGGATTGAGATAGAGTCAAATGCTTTTCAGCATTGGTTACACGTTACCTTATGATCGATCTGAGGTCATTTTTAGCCTCTCACAAGTCCAAAATTTTCCTGGCGATGAGGGGGACTGCTGCCCCCCTTCAAATCCCCCAAACAGAAGATGATCACTTTTTTTAACAACATTTCTCAAAAGAAAACATGTGTTTTGGGCCCAAACAGAACATTTTTTCACTATTTGAGGCCTTAAAGAAGGGGGGGGGGGGGCAAAAGTGCGTTGTTTCGCATATATATGAGGTAAAGGGTTAAAATAGTACAGATTCGTTTAAAATTAATCATCATGATACGTCATAAAGTCAAACCCACTTTTAGAAGTTGGTGATTGGATAATTCAAAATTGCAGATTTCCCTCTCTTTTTGCAAAGAAAACAAAGGGGGATTACTCACAGTGATGTGCTCTCTTCCAATCAAAATAGCCGATACATATTTTATGTTTCGTGACGTATTTTCTGATGACGCAACGAAAGAGGATAGTTACTTTGTAAACAAATGGAAAAGTAACTTATGTTACACATTTTTTAATTTGAAATACATCATTTAGTGATTATCCGATGAACCTAGGTGTCCGATACTACCCAATGTTACTCTAGTAAAAAAAAATTACAGCATGTCAAATCCAGTACACACTCAGCAGGTTAAGGGTCAGAACTCACCTCAATATCTGTGAGTGGCATTCTATCAAGGAAATTTTTCTGTCCTATCTGCATAGTGGCCCAGGTCATGCGAAGGTTGTCAAGAGCAACATGAAGATTTCCTTCACCAAGTTCATGGTAACCGCCCTCATTCTGCATCTCTAGCAGACATATCACATTCCTTCAAGACCAATTATATTCTTGTTTAAGTTTAATCCAAAACTAAATTTAAACAATGAAACAAGTGTACATGTTATGTGCAGAATTATTACTCTTAATTACCCATTTTTGTATAATAGAAAAAATATTAAATCAAAGCATAGAAGGCGCTGAATTTGTTTGGGTCTCAGAATGTCAGAAAGGTGAAGGTTGTGAGATTATAAACCAATTTGTTTTTATATAGTGCCACAAATTCTTTCCAGCGTTTTAAATGTAGTAAATTGGCTAAAAGACTAATTGCAACACTGATATTCAATTCAATGTTTATTTGACTTAAACAATTTGAAAAAAAAATGAGTTGCCTTAACTGGGATTTGAACTCCAGACCTCTCGCTTCCTAAGCGAGCGCGCAAAACCCTCGGCCACGGTGAAGTTATATGTTAACGGTCTGAAGAAAACCATACTATTCTAAATTAGGGTTTGTAACCCTTATTATTTCGTTTAACACAGATGTAAATAATCATGGAGCTTACTATAAGCATGTATATCTATAAAGAATAAAACAATATTAGAAATCTTCGACCATTCGGGAACTATTTTGCTTGAAAATTAATGCGCCTGTCATTTGACCATCTTTACACAGTGATCTCTCCTGAATTTTTCGGCGTAAGTGTACATATAAAGGGAAGTAACCGCTTCAAAAAAGCGGACTACTTTCAGCATTTGCAATTAACAGCATCAGGGTCTGAAATTTCGCTACCATTATTTGTTTGGTCTGACAAATAAAAATTGAAATGATATAAAAAAAGTTCTTTGCTCGATGGTTCAATCAGTCATTAAGATGGCTGGATTATGTTATAACACGCTAATGTTTCACTTTACTTTCATTCCCTATAACACTTAAAATGTAGGAATAAATATGAAAGAAACAATATTATCAATTTAATTAATTTATCAATCTGATTAAAATTAGCTCTAAATAACGCTCCGCTTTTAACCGTGACCAAATACGAAATCATTTCTGGAGACCTTTCACACAGCCCATCATTGGCGAGCTTTCAATATTTTGAAAGCAATTTGGTTTCAATTTTAACCCTGGGAAAACCAATACTGAATATTTTGAAAGCGATGTGGTTTCAATTTTAACGCTGGGAAAACCAATACTAATTTTCACGATTTCGAGAACAAACATGACATAGTCCATAAAGCCTTCAGGTAAACTGGCAAAACAATCTTGCCCATTAAAAATTGACTATTATTTCAAGTTTATTTGTTAAAAATTACTTCAAACATTTTTTAGCTAACAAAAATGAAAAATTTGTTTTTAACTTTCACAGATAACAATATTTTAATACTTCTTCTAATGTCTAAACCGGTTTGATTGCATGGCTAAAAATAGCTTTCTCGGTAAGTCCGAATCATAAAGAAGGCAAAACATGTAAAAAACTATAGTCGTCACAGATCTACATAAAAGAAATAAGTAGAACTTTAGACAGATTGATTAATTTATATAAATCGAATTGAACTTTCATAATTAGTAAAGTATGATTGAACATTGTAGAACAACCAGAAAAAAGGGGGCAGTTCAGTATGCTCCAAAACAAGGAGTTAGAAATAACATGTACATACATTTTTACCTTGACCTTTGACCTTCTGACGTCAAAATTAATAGAGGTCATCTAAAAGTCATAACAAAACTCCACACAAAATCTTTAGGACTGTAGGCCAAAGCGTTCTCTACTCATTGGTCAGACAAGATTTAATTGGTCAATGTTACAGTGGCCTTGACCTTTGACCTATTGATCTCACAATCAATAGGGGTCTATCTTCTAGTTATAACCAAAGCATTCTCCAGTCATTGGCTGGAAAAGTTTTAAGTGGTCAAGGCAGCAGAAACCTTGACCTTTGACCTACTTACCTCAAACCAACAAGGCTCATTTACTGGTCATGACGAACCTGCACATCAAATCTTAGGACTGTAGACCAAATTTTTTCTTAGTTATAAATAAGACAAGCAATTATGGGCAAAACAAAATGACATTTACCTTTGACACATTAACCTCAAAATCATGAGGGTTCATGACCAACCTGCACATAAATCATAGGGCTGTAGACCAGTTATTGGTCAGACAAGCTTGTTCTGACCTGAAAACCATAGTGACCTTTTACCTATTGATCTCAAAATACTAAGGGGTCATCTACTGGCCATGGGTTATGTACCTACTTAATCTTATTCAAGTAAGTGATCGGAGAAAAAAAAGAAAAGAGGTACATACGAAGAATGTTCAATAAATAATGTTCAATAAATTCGTGGACTGCGGTTCTACTGTTCACATCTTTTTATTTGCATACACAATTTTACAAGCGGCAAATATCGGAATATGTTCTGTTTATACAGGGAACAGATCAATACAATATGTTTTCTATGAATATAATTAGGGGAATGCAAACCGGAGCTCACACTCAGAATACAACAAATGATGTTTGTGATGTCGCATAAGAAATACAAAGTATTACCAGGTCATTGACTTTGAAAGTACTCTCCCGAGTGTTCAATGACTCTGAACCATTTAACTTTAACCATTTGATGGTTGTAATGATGAAGAGAGATCGAAAGCAGTCATCTTTCACAGAAAAAATAAATTATGATACTGATTTAAATGATCAATTATCAAATGTCATAATCCTATCTTTAATAAATATGATTATGTACTGTAATAATAAAGTATTAACAAGCAAATTCATTGAATTTATATCCCCCGCCTTGTACTGATTATTACTAACATAACAACTGAGACATAAGGCTTTATTTATATAAATTTATCATGGCCTGCAAATTTCCTTTTCATATTGATGATTCCCATAAAGTCTTGTTGAAATCAATACAGCAGTTGAAAAGAAATAGCAATATTGCTCAATATGCATACTGCAAAACTAATCAAGGGCCATATAACTCTGTCTTGAAGGCACTGACCGGAACAAGGCACTGATATGCAATCTACCCTTGGTATTGATTGTTCCAATAAAGTTTCATTGAATTCTAGCCAGTACTTGCAAAGAAATAGCAAGGAAATGATTATTGCTCTATATGCATACTAGCTAACTAATCAAGGGCCATAACTATGTGTTGAAGAGTCTGAGCGAAACAAGGCAACATGCACATCTCCTCTTGGTATTATTGATAGTTCCCATAAAGTTTTGCTGGATTCCAGCCATAATTTTTTTTTAATCCATAAGCCCCCTGGCCCGGGCCCCCTTTTCATCCTAGGAGCATTATTTAAAGTTTCATTCTTTGTAGAGGACCACTAGATTATGTGACATACCAAATATCAAAGCCTTTTGCTTTTTGACAAGAAGATTTGTAAAGACTTTTTTTAAAAATTGAGTAACCCCCATGATGGGGCCCCTTCTCACCCTAGGGGCATATTTGAACATTCTTTGTAGAGGACCACTAGATTATGTTACAAACTAAATATCAAGGCTCTAGGCCTTGTACATTTTGACAAGAAGATTTTTTAAGATTTCCCTTTATAACTTTATACAAAACTGATGAGGCCCTTTTGACCCTAAGGGTCATACTTTGAACAATCTTTGTAGAAGTCCACTAGATCATGTTACATTACAAATATAGAGGCTCTACACCTTCTGGTTTTTGAAAAGCAGATTTTTTAAGATTTTGTTAAAAAAAAAATCTTTTGATTGCTATGGCAACCAGAGTTCTTCAAGGTATTTAATTATTTAACAACTTTGGTAGAGCTTCATGCAAGGAACATGCCTGCCAAGTTTCATTAAATTTGGCCAAGTGGTATTATTGGAGGAGAAGTCACTTGAATGAAAAAGTTAACGCAAGGATGTATGAACGACGGACGACAGACATTGACACAAAAGCTCACCTTGTCACTCTATGACAGGTGAGCTTATAATTAAATGGCCAAAAATCCTGTACTGGAAAATGCGGACGATATGCACATCTTAACTTTGTAATGATCATAAAGTTTGGATGAAATTACACAAGTAGATTTTGAGAAGTACTGACAAGTTTTGTGAAGGATAGACAGACGAATAAACAAATGTATGATGGAGAAGTGATCCTTTATGTTGCCGTTATTGCAGGCAACACAAAAATCAAGCAAAATTCAAAACTTTACCTTCAAGGTCAATGTCATTTATAAGTTGACATTATGGTCAATTTGGTCAGCTTGAAGGTCTTGCCAAAAGGATTATTGTGTCCAAGTATGAAGATAAATTATAACCAGCCATAGTGAAAAAACAAGCATTTCCGAAATTTGCGATTGAAGGGAAGGTAATTTAGGAGTCCAGGTCATGTCCAATCTTGCCTACTTCAAAGTCCTGTCCAAAGGTTTGTTGCATGCACTACGAAGACTAAAACACTACAGCAACAAGAGGGCCACAATGGTCCTGAAATCACTCACCTGAATATAAACTTGGTAGACACTCACTAGTAAGATGTTTCATGCTTAATATTTAAGCTCTTGGTCTTTGGGATTTTTAAAAGAAGATTTCTTTTAAGTTTTTACTATACATTTATAAAGAAAACTGCTTATTCCTAAGATGAATTTGAGTTGAATGTGTACAACCATTGGGGAGATAATGAACAAATTTCTGATTTTTTTGAAAGTTTAAGAGGGATAACTCTGTCAGTTATCATCAAACTATGACCAAATTGGAACTTGACAAGTTTATTCTTATGGCATATCCATATGTTAAATTTAAGTTGTACAATTGTTGAAAGGAAACTGAAAATTTCCTTTTTTTTATCAAAGTTAAAGGAGCATTACTCTGCCAAAAATCATTTAACCATGACCAAATTCAAACCTATCCATATGTCAAATTTGAGTTGAACCTGTAATACCCTTGAGAAGATAATGAACGAAAACTGAAAATTTCATCAAGGGCATAACTCTGTCAAAAATCATCGGACCATCCGAACTTGACCTGTATTTTCTCATGATATATCTATATGTCAAATTTGAGTTGAATGTGAGCAACTATTACCAAGATAATGAACAAAACTGATGATGACGGAATGACTTAACAGGGTAACACTATATGCCCCATGATGGGGGCATAATCTATGAGCCCTCTGTCGGTGGGTTCAATTTCTTCACCTGGGTGCCGTTTTATCAACAAAGATAGTTGTAACTGCGATCTTATCTTACGACCGATATTTACTGCCGAGCTTACGATTTCCACATGCCCGTTTTATGAACACGGTCGTACGACCTCAGTCATAGCTAAGGCCATTTTCGGTCGTACGACCGTATAAATAGTAACCATACAGTCGAAAGTAAGTTTCTGGGTCATGTGATTCCCCGCGCACTTGTCAATGGAAACACAACTGCATTAACTGAATTAATACGGTGTATGCCTCGTCGAAGTAGCTTTAATAACTGCAAAGCATGGGGGATGAGCAAAGAGGACATTTTGTTTCCAAATTAACTCAATAAAGTACAAAACTAGAACTATCACTAAATGTGATTAATACCCACACAAGACTGCTTCGGAAATGAGGATGTTACTAGTAACAGAATACCTTGTAAAAGAATTGAAATATAGAGTTATGGTTGTGGGCAATTAAAGATAGTTGTGGTTCTTATATGTTGCATTTCCTTTCAATGTGGTTGGCCATTGATGAATTTGATTGAATTACTCTGTAATAAGTCCAGAAAGACAAAGAAAAGGAACAAAGGGCAATAACTCTTTAAATACTGGAGATAGAGTTATAGTTTTTGTGCACTGCACTTCCTCTTATTGTGCTTGACCATTGTATGAAGTTGTTTTGAATTCCAACCAGTATGTTTTAAGTTATGCTCCTGACAAGGAAAAGTATCAAAGGGCAGAAACTCCGTATTTTGTCAAAATGGAGTTATGGCTCTTGTGCACTGCACTTCCTTTTAATGTCCTTGACAACTGTATGAAGTTGTATTGAATTCCAAACAGTAGTTTTCAAGTTATGCTCTGGACAAGGAAAAGTAACAAAGGGCAATAACTCTGTAATTAGTCAAGATGGAGTTATGGTTCTTGTGCACTGCACTTTCTCTCAATGTGCTTGACCATTGTATGAAGTTATATTGAATTCCAACCATTAGTCTTCAAGTTATGGTCCGGACAAAAAAGGCAATGGAAAAGTAACAAAGGGCAATAACTCTGTAATTACTTTAGATAGTGTTATGGTTCGTTTGCACTGCACTTCCTCTCAATGTGCTTGACCATTGTATGTAGTTATATTGAATTCCAACCATTAGTCTTCAAGTTATGCTCCAGACAAGGAAAATGCAACGGACGTCTGGACCGACCGACCGCCCGACCGACGACCGGGTGACTCCTATATACCCCCCCAAACTTCGTTTTTGGGGGTATAAAAATGATAAGTCTTTTTGAGTTAGAATGCCATTTCTTTTCTAATAGAAGATTTTTTTATAAAAAAATATTTTACATGGGATACATTGGGATACATTAATAAAAAACGGTAAATCATTGATAAAAACAAATAGATACTTATATGCGGATCAAAATATAGAGATGCATCAAAAAGGAGGACATATATCGGTCTACAAAACATGTTATAGACGATGTCAAAATTTTCAAATGCCTTCTGCGTGTTAGACACATTACTTCTAAAAAAAGCTTTAGCGTCATTCTGATCATTCTTAAAAACAGCTAAGGATACAATTAAATATCACCAATGACTATGTAAATATATCCCTTAAATCCCTGTATTTACAATACGCAGATTGGTAAGAATATCCTGAATAAAAGTCAAAGAACGTGATAGTATACATCATTATGATCTGTCAACCGAATAGTATCTTGTAAAAGCAAAAGGCTTCCAAAGCATAGCTACTGTTATAAGATTTCTTTTACTTGGAACAAAGCGCTGTTGATGCTTGAATACAGAGACACCCACCAAAGTTCAACCTGTCTGTGCGTCCATGACATTGAATAAGTTACAGGTGGCACAGCTTGAATAAACAAGAGCCCGGTTTGAGCCGGGTGATGCTCCCCGAATAGGTTTTGGACACAGGAAAGTACACCTCTTGTAATTTCAGAGTTATGTCCGTGGAAAAAGTTCAAAGTGCAATAATTCCAAAATTGGGCAAGGCAGAGTTACTGTTCTTTGCACTGCACTTCTAATCACTGTGATCTATCAACCTAAAGTTTCTTGTTGATATCTCTTATGGTTTCAGAGTTATGTTCCGGACAACTTCAAAAAGTAAAAATAAACAAAGGGCAATAACTCCAGAATTAGGCAAGGCAGAGTTATGATTCTTGTGCACTGCACATTTACCCATTGAGATATATCTACCTACAAAGTTTCATGTTGGTATCTCTTATATTTTTACAGCTATGTCCAGTACAAGATTTTTCTAAAAGGGGAGATAATTCAAAGATGAGGCTTAACAGAGTTATGGTTCTTTTGCACTGCACTTCTACTCAATGAGATCTATCTACCTACAATGTTTCATCTTGATATCTCTTATAGTTTTAGAGTTATGTTCCGGACAAAGTTCAAAGTGTTGAAATTAACAAAGGGCAATAACTCCAAAATTAGGACAAAAAGAGTTATTGTTCTTATGCACTGCACATCTACCCATTGAGATCTATTCACCTACAACGTTTCGTGTTGATATCTCTTATAGTTTTAGAGTAATGCCCCGGACAAGATTTTTCTATAAGGGGAGATAATTCAAAAAATGGGCAAAATAGAGTTATGGTTCTTTGACACGGCACTCCCCCTCAATGCCCTCTACCACTGTATGAAGTTTAAACAAATTATCTCGAAGGGTTTTCAAGTTATGCTCCGGACAAGACAACGGATGGACGGACGGACGGACAAGGCGCCGACTATATGCTCCCCCGAAATTTTTCGGGGAGCATAAAAAAAAATTGTACAGGGCTCTGAGGTTAAAAATGCTAAACAACATCTGCAAACATTAGAAGAGTCTTTCTTGGCAGTTTCAGCTAAGATTAAGGAAAAGTTGAAAACAATACTGGGATCCTTCATATTTACCGGACAATCGGTTTACCGGACAAAATCTATTTCTGCCGAGTAGTTCTTCGATTAAAAAATCATCCGGTCTGAATCGTACACACACTTTCTATTCCAAAGTAAATAACAACAAAACCACTCTCAGGTAAATATTGTTGATTCAGTTTTTTATTTACTATCATGCCCTTTTGTTTACTAGTAATTTCATGGCCTGGTCATGCGGGTAATAATCTGTTCTGCGCATGCCGGAATATTGAGGCCCTTAATGGTTATTTCAGATAAATTTGACTTTTAATTCTTCTCAACGATATCTCAGGAGACAATCGTAACAGATTTTAATAATAACAAGAGCTGTCGGTACGACAGCAACGGTCGACTATTCTTAGTGCTTGATAGTAAAAAAAAATGCTTGATACAGTTACCTCCTCCTGTTTACAGGTTGGGGTAATGATGGTGAAGAAGTGTGCAAAGTTTCAAAGCCATATGTCAATGAACTTTGAAAATATTTGAGGTATTACAAAAACTTTAACATAAATTCTAAGTCGAAAAAGAGGCATAATTCTGTCAAAATGCTTGATAGAGTTACCTCCTCCTGTTTACAAGTTGGGGTCATGATGGTGAACAAGTGTGCAAAGTTTCAAAGCCATATGTCAATGGACTTGGAAAATATTTAAGGTATTACAAAAACTTTAACATAAATTCTAAGTCGAAAAAGGGACATAATTCTGTCAAAATGCTTGATAGAGTTACCTCCTCCTGTCTACAGGTTGGGGTCATGATGGTGAACAAGTGTGCAAAGTTTCAAAGCCATATGTCAATGGACTTTGAAAATATTTGAACTATTACAAAAACTTTAACATAAATTCTAAGTTGAAAAAGGGGCATAATTCTGTCAAAATGCTTGATAGAGTTACCTCCTCCTGTCTACAGGTTGGGGTCATGATGGTGAACAAGTGTGCAAAGTTTCAAAGCCATATGTCAATGGACTTTGAAAATATTTGAACTATTACAAAAACTTTAACATAAGTGGTTACGCCGACGCAGACGCCGACGCTGACACTGACGTGACTGCAATAGCTCTACTTATTCTTATCGAATAGTCGAGCTAAAAAGTAATTTTAAATTTATTCCAACAGTATCTCGCTGCTGTCTTTTACAAAGAAATGCAAATTAAAAAACTCGACTTTTTACTTTTTCTGAAATATTTTAACAAATCTTAACGTTTCCTTTTTATAAATTTAATCGGTCTGTCTTGACACATTAGTTTTATCTATATATTTTGTATATATAAATACGAGGGGTGTCCCAGAATTACGTGGACTTTTGCTGTAACTCAAAAACCACTGAAAATAAAAACAAACAAAATTAACATAAACAAAATGCAACTTTATTGCATTAGTACAAAAAAATTCAAAGTTGTCTGGCAACTGGATCAGTGTCTGTGGGCAGGGTAATGAGACAAGGAGTAGCGGGTGCGGGGCAGTCCATTCCGACGTTACGACGTCATTCCGGTGGCGTCGCTAGTTGTTAATAAATGCGTGTCGTCGAATGTCAGTTTTTCTCAACATAGTCGCCGCCTTACTCAATACACCTATGGTGTCGATATATCCACTGGTCGTACACTGTAATAATAATAATAATAATAAAGCATACTATTAACTTTTGTTACGATAACAGTGTTAAAGACGACGGTGATAATGCTGACGCCGTATTATTATTATTATTATTATCATTATTATTATTATTATTATTATTTATCATTATTATTTTTATTATTATCATTATTGTTTTTATTATTATTATTATTATCATTATTATTATTTTTGTGGAATTTATTTTGTACGCAAAGACAATGTGCGTTAACAAGGGAAATAACCTATCATGCGCACTGCTTACTATAGCAGTTTGAGTTCACTTTCTCAATAAGAGCTGAAGCGAATAAATTGCGTTTAAAATAATAAATTGTGATTAGCTTAATTTTTAAAAATTATTTTTTTAAACACAAAATTATTGCTTACCCTTGAATAGTACTCAGCATTGTAACGCCTGTCCCGATCTATGATAGTCCTTGACTTCCTTAATTGACGCCGCAGTGAACGTTGACTTTCTCCCACGACCCCTGTCGACTTCAATGTCCTTCCGTCCGTCTCGAAAACGCTTATGCTACTTGAAAACGAGTGATCGACAAACAGGAGGTCTCATTTTTGCAGTCTCCAACATTTCCTGCGTCTGTGTTGGCGTCTTCCCAAGATTAACACAAAACTTGATGATAGTCCGATGTTCCGCGTAATCCGTGGACGTCATTTTTTGTTAAATATCCAAGAGCAACTGTTGTCAGTTGTCCGCTGGTAAACAATAACGGAAACAGCTATGACATCAAAATTTCAAACGAACGTTTATATGACGTCACTGCATATGCTTACAACGTCGCGCCATTTTTACGTATAAATACGCAAGATATACGAAAGTAAAGACAACTTATTAATACAAAATATTGGACTGCCCCGCCCTGCGCATACTGCGTTACTATAGCGACGTAAAATATAGAGAAGCAATGTTAGAAATTTAAAAATAATGGACATATTCATTAAGGATATGTTAAAGGTATTGTGTACAAATTTGCTAAAAAATGCATTAAAAAATAAAAAAGTTATAGCAAAAGTCCACGTAATTCTGGGACACCCCTCGTACATATGATTAAGTTTGAAGACAATCCATTCAAAAATAACAAAGTTACAGCCAAAAATAGCAAGAACAAGCAAAATTTTGACGTTTGTCCTTGAAGATCAAGATTATTTATGGATGAAGGTCAAGGTTAGTGTGGTCTACTGAAAGGTCTTGTCCTAAGGGTTGTTGTGGCCAAGTATGAAGACAATACACCAAGAACTAAAAATGTTATGATCCAGGTACAAAATCTGAAAACACAGTGATCCCTCGGAAGCATTAATCACAACAAAATTACAAGAGAATTGCAGACTCGGTTTGATTGAGTCTGTACATGAGGGATAATGAATAAGTGCAACATCCCTCATGCCCCCTAGCACTGGCTTGAGCGGTACTCAACTCTCAACACTCAATAGTGCTGGCATCAATGATCCCGAAGGACCAGAAAAATATAACAACACTGAAGTGAAGTACGGGGCAACTTTTTACAGCTGCCACACAGCACTTGACACCAGTCCTGCTGTTGTGAAGTTTAAAAATCTGGAAACAAAGTGATCCCTCTGAAGCATTAATCACAACAAAATTACAAGAGAATTGCTTGAGGGGTACTCAAGTTTGTACAAGTTTGCGGACAGCAATGGCAACGCCGCCAGGACTATAACAATACCTCTACTTTTTTTTCAAAAAAAGTCAAGCTAAAAATAGATTTTATGGCTTTTGTAACATGCCACATGATCACCAAAAGGGAACTTTATAACAAAGAACAGAAATCCATTTGAATATCAAAATGTTTCATACATTTAAGGATCATGAAGACTCAATACGTTAATTGAGTTAATTATTAAAGTGTTAATTTCAATTACACCCCAAATATTGGCCTCTTCGTAACAAGCATGGCTGCCTGGGTTCTTCAAATATCTTAACCTTGACATTCAATAGTCGTAGTTTCCATGCTGATTATTTAAAGATAAATTTAAATTCACGACTTCAAAAGATTTTGAAACACAATGTCCGGTAAATTGAGCTGTCTACACGAATTTTTTCTCTTATAATGCCCTACTTTAAAGACACATTACTATGGTCAAATTTTTAATTTTATGTCCGATAAAGTAATGTTTACGTGTTATAAAAACCCAAAATTATTTGGGTAAAATTCCATTCTTTTTTATTATTAAAAAAAAAATTACAGCGAAAAAACATATTTTGTCCGGTAATATGTAGGATCCCAGTATGGCTGGCTTATTTGTGAAAGTATCTACAGAACAGTAAGTGTTAGAATGTTACAAAGTCATTTATTATTATTCCAGTATGACAATAAATGAATATAGGACAGTAAATTATGACACTGAAATGACATGTTACAACTTTTTCTAATTCATATAAATTTTTAATAATACCTGTTTAGAATTGATGTACATATCTACTAGAAAACAATCTTGAAACTAGATAACAATATAAAAATAATATGTTTTGACAGACACAGGGTACCATTCAGACAAGAGCAGTAATAAGACAAAGATGATTATAAACTTAGCACATTAAAGATAAAATGTCACTTCCAGGGAATTCTGTAGAAAGTTTCACATCTTTACAATTGTTTATTTCATTATTGTCCCTTTTGTGTTGATTTCTTTGTGTTTTTAATATTAATCCCAACAATTTTTAATGCATTCAAGTAACAATAAATCAATAAATATCCATATAAACACATATGTTACATTGATTTATCTCATGTTATTTTACTTTCAGATGAATTGTAACACATAAATCTTTGCTTTAATCCAATTGAATACAGAGAAGAACACCATATTGCTGTGTATTCCTTTCAAGTTTTGAACATGAATCAAACATTTCATAATGTTATTCAAGAGAATGATTCAGTAAAGTTATCACTTCAAGAAATATAGATATTTGATTTTGACATACATGAACAACTATAGTTTTGACATCTAAGACAAGTGAATATACAGTCAGTACAAACATGTACCATCCAAGGTATATATTCAGAAACAACTTAAAGACCTTAACCTATGTATATGTTTTCATTAATCATTAAAAGCATTCACATAAAGCTTCTTACATACATTCAGGGTAAAAATTGTAGATCACTGACCATACTTAAGTGTTATTTTTATTCATGTGCATGTAGAAACAAAGTTATTATGGAATGTATTAAATTATACACAATGTACCATATTCAATATAAAGACCTTACAGATATTGGTAAATTGATGAAATGTTTAATAGTCTATATAACTTTCTTCTTAACTATCTTGAGGACTTATATGTCCTTTGTTGGCAAAATAACAAGGTCACAACACTTGGACCCTTTAAGGGAGAGCTGTCCCTGGATATTGATTCCAATCATAGGATTGTTTAGCTGTAAACCGTCCATCATTCAGCAGTAATCTGAAACATTACAGATAATAATCTGACTTAAAACATTGTAATTTGATACAATAATCTTTTACAAACTATCTCATATGAAATGTCATGAACAGATAAATATGAAAATGTATGATTCAAATGAAATCCTTATCAACTAAATGTGAATAGTTTTTATTCAATAATCCTGTATGTTTTTGTAATATGTGAATTTGTCAGTCACAGTCATTGAGCTTTTAAAGAAGTTCTTACTGTTGATTTTTTTTTATATTCCTCTATAACTGTCAGTTCCCTGACAGTGTAAGGTCATTTTACTTTTATATTACTGTTTCTAAAATAAGTTTGTCACTACTGACCCTGGTGGTAGGTATACAGCCTCATCATTGTTAATGTCCTCTTTTACAAACACATTGATCAGCAGATGCACCAAGTACTAACTATCCATGCTGCCTTATATCTGTAAGGAAAATCAGATATAACAAACCTATGAGTAAATCTTATAATGATTCCCACAAATCTAACATTACTACAATATATAATACAATAGTATTTGTTTAAATGTGGAAACAAGACACTTTATCTCTGAAGACACTTCACACCCCAAAATCAGTATTTAGACACCTCACCCATCATCTCTGATTATTTCTAGAATAAATATTTCAACAACAAATAAACCTTTTGTTTATAAATTATTTTTTTTTAAGTATTTTTTTTTATAAAATGTTTAACTCAAGGCAATTTTCAATATTTTTAACACTGACAAGTTAACTTGCAACATGGAACTTTGATATATTACACCATTTTCTAAAACATTACATGTAAGACAATTTAAAGTATCAATGTGACATAAAAATAGAGATAAATCTGCTATATAATTGTTGACAAAAAATATTATGTGTGATTTCCAACATTACTATCAATGTACTGTGAATCTGGGACATACATGTATTTCCCAGTATCAATGTTAGAACAAATGAAGTGTGAAAGAGATATCTCATCTCATATCTAAGATAGTAGGTCACCCACTTTAAATGACTAATACAAAATAAGTTATTTTAAATAGTCAAACTTATTTTGAAGTGTTAATGTGATAATTATATTTTAGAAACAAGATTGCATTTGAGAAAAATGCTATGCCACCGCATTAATACAACACTAAATAGTAGTGTTGGAACAGATTTTTTTTTGTTTCTATACAATTTTGAAGATTGTCATAATGCATAGATCCCTGACCTATCTTATTCTTATTATCAGATTAGTGGTTAAATCTGTTGTTAACTCAATAAAAGATCAGAGTAGGAATATATCAATGCACTCGAGTCTAGTGAATTTGGTGGTGAAGGTCATATTTCACGCAGCCTAAATTTCATGACTACATCAAAGAACAGTAAGACACTTTGTCAAAATCTAGGTCAGCTGAAATCAAAGTTCACTTTACGTCTTAATCTGTGCACATGGTTCAAATTTCATAGCTGTACATCAAAGGACAAGAAAGTAGGTCACATCATCAAAATCTAGGTCACCTCATATCAAAATTCAATTTTACAACTAAAACTGTGCACATGGTCAAAATTTCATTGCTGTACATCAAAGGACAAGAAAGAAGGTCACTGTCCCCTTGGGCAAGGCAAAATTTTGGACCCAAGGGTTTCATTCAAAACAATCTTGATACAGGTCCACCGAACAACATTTCAAGTCAAATATCTAAGCTGTAGCTTTCTCCCATTCAGAAAACATTTGTTTTATTTTCTGTTTTTACTATGTGTACATAATGAGAATCACTGCCCCCGGGCAGGGCCAATTTTGACACCAGGGGAAAAATTTGAACAACTTTGGAAGAGGACCTATAGATGATATTATATAGCAAACATCGAAGCTCTATGCCTTGTACCTTCAGATAAAAATATATTTTTTTTTATTTTTTTACTTTATATATATATATATGTATATATATATACATATAAGGAAAGCCTATGGCCCCCTGGGCGGGGCTAATTTTGACACTAGAGGCAAAATTTGAACAACTTTGGTAGAGTTCCTATAGATGATATCATTTAAAAAATATTTAAGCTCTAATAAAGACAATAAGATTTTTTACTATAAGTATATATTGAAGATACATATAAGGAAAACTAATGACCCCCCGGCGGGCCGATTTTGACCCCAGGGCTATAATTTGAATAGTCTGGGTAGAGGTCTACCAGACAATGCCTTATGCAAAATATCTAAGCTCTAGGCCTTTTGGGTCTTTGGAAGAAGGTATTTTAAGTTTTTACTATATGTACATATAGTGAAAAGCAATGACCCCGGGGCGGGGCCGATTTTGACCCCAGGGCTATAATTTGAACAATCTTGGTAGAGGTCTACCAGACAATGCTTTATGCAAAAAATCTAAGCTCTAGGCCTTTTCGGTCTTTACAAGAAGGTATTTTAAGTTTTTACTATATGTACATATAGTGAAAATCAATGACCCCCGGGGCGGGGCCGAGATTTTGACCCAGGGCTATAATTTGAACAATCTTGGTAGAGGTCTACCAGACAATGCCTTATGCAAAATATCTAAGCTCTAGGCCTTTTGGGTCTTTACAAGAAGATTTTTTAAATTTATTCTTATAATTCCTTTTGGTTGCCACGGGGCGGGGCTGATTTTGACCATAGGGCTATAATTTGAACAATCTTGGTAGAGGTCTACCAGACAATGCCTTATGCAAAAAATCTAAGCTCTAGGCCTTTTCGGTCTTTACAAGAAGGTTTTTTAAGTTTTTACTATATGTACATATAGTGAAAATCAATGACCCCCGGGGCGGGGCCGATTTTGACCCAAGGGCTTTAATTTGAACAATCTTGGCAGAGGTCTACCAGACAATGCCTTATGCAAAATATCTAAGCTCTAGGCCTTTTGGGTCTTTACAAAAAGATTTTTTAAATTTATTCTTATAATTCCTTTTGGTTGCCATGGCAACCAGATTTCTGCATGGAATGAAATTCTTTGAACAACTTTGGAACCCCTTCACCCAAGGATCAACCCTTCCAAGTTTGGTTGAAATTGGACTAGTGGTTTTTCACAAGAAGATTTTTTAAGTTCACTATATAATCTATATAACACACACACACACAAACAAACACACACACAGGTGAATCGCTATATGCCACCGCATCGCAGATGCTGCGGTGGCATAAAAATATAATGTACTTAATTGATTATCATTAATATCATATAAATATATTAGGGGAAAAGTAATATCTCTATTTTGATTTGGTTTATATTTATTATATAACAAGAAATGTGTTAAAACAATGAATATTTTAATCACCACTGATTGCATTTCACATGTTCCACCTTTATTTGTGTAAAGCACATAACAACACATAACCAAAAAGGGAGGTGTAGTGCTTTAATCAGATTTCATAGAAAGAGGGTTGAAGTGAACTCTAAAACTGTCTATATTTCAAACTCACCTGTCTGCACAAGTTACTTGTCCTTTGTTTACAATCCTCTTTTCATGTGATACATCATCATCGGATACCCACAGCCGAACCATTAACATTTATCAGCCGTGGGATTTTTTGCTGATATGCAGTTGATTAGAGGTGTGTCAAAGGCAGCTATTTCATTGGCTGCCTGACGATTTCATGAGGCGATTAAAACCAATCGAAACGCTCGTTCTGTACGACGTTCGGTATTACAAACAATATTGCGACAACCATAGAGGACGTGAAAAATTCAACATGGAAAAATTAAACGATTTCCAGCAAGAAAGTATAGATAATTTACTTTTACAGCATGATGTTTCCTTTCTGATTGATATCTGCTTGCAGAAGAACTGATTTGGCGTTAGTTTTTGCCATTGATTTTTAGCAAGATACGTACAACAGTTTTTAACCGTGGGCGCTGCCATTTTGTTTCTTATTGTTTTTTACCTCCGCTGTTGAGGAATATAGATTTGTTAAACGCGATGTTTACGCACCTGTTGCTGTATATCGACGCAAATCGATTCTTTTACCCACGGTTGATTGCATGTTATGTGACATGTTTATCAATCGTGGGTATCCGACGAAGGTGATACACTAAATTGGATCTAAAGATGCTCATTTCGCATACATGTACATGCTTTACCAAACAACAGTGCTGCAGTTTCATTTGCATTCGCATTACAGTACTGTACTGTAGGTTAACATAATGTTGCCATGTTGATTTCACATTATTAACACTTGTCTTTCACCTAGATACTGTAGCAACTTCATTGAAAGGTCTACAAAAGAACATACTTAACTAATTATAACAATCAAATTGGTTTTATAGCTTGACAATTAACACAATTGTTATTGACAATTGTTATATCTATATGTTCTGTCCGAAATCTGCACTGTCCGAAATTTTTGTACTAAAATATTTCCAAAAGAAAAGTATGAAACGGTATAGAAAATTGTAAGAATCATTTGCTAATCTGGCTACAGATGTGACAGGAGTTTTATTAAACACACATATATAGGTTGTACTAAAATGAAAGTAATTCAACTAACAATAGCTTCTTCAAGATTAAACTGGAAGTGATAGTTGCGTCCCTTGGATGTTAAAATAGATTTAGCACTGTACATAAACGCAAAAAACTTACGTAAGTTGAAAACTTCTATTGTTCATTGTTCAAATATTTGTGTTTGAAAGTCCTTGCCCGGAATTATGCGAAAATGGCCACCATTTTTAAGATCTTAAGCCTACTTACGACTGGTCTGAAGCAGCCTTAAAGTTACGACGTTAATCTACGATGTCTTAACTGCGACCATGTTGATAAAAATAAAAAAAAACAAATCTTAGCTACGACCGGGCGTACAACCGTTGATAAAACAGCACCCTGTGGGCTTTTATTGAAACAAACTTGGTAGACACCCATAACAAGATGTTTCATGCTTAATATCTCAGCTCTAGCTCTTTGGGTTTTCTAAAAGAAGATTTTTTAAGTTTTTAATAAAAAAGTATAAGGAAAATCAATGGCGGGGCCAATTTTAACCCAAGGGCTTTTATGAAAAAACTTAGTGGACACTCACTCAAAGATGTTTCATGCTAATTATCTAAGCTCTTTGGGTTTTAAAAGAACATTTTTTAAGTTTTTACTATATACATATAAGGAAAATCAATGACCCATATTTTAGAGCCAATTTTAACCCTAGGACTTTTATTTCATGAAACTTGGTATACACCTTCATGCTTAATATCTAAGCTCTAGCTCTTTGGGGTTTTTAAAAGAAGTTTTTACTATATTCATTTAAGGAAAATCAATGGCGGGGCCAATTTTAACCCAAGGGCTTTTATGAAAAAACTTAGTGGACACTCACTCAAAGATGTTTCATGCTAATTATCTAAGCTCTTTGGGTTTTAAAAGAACATTTTTTAAGTTTTTACTATATACATATAAGGAAAATCAATGACCCATATTTTAGAGCCAATTTTAACCCTAGGACTTTTATTTCATGAAACTTGGTATACACCTTCATGCTTAATATCTAAGCTCTAGCTCTTTGGGGTTTTTAAAAGAAGTTTTTACTATATTCATTTAAGGAAAATCAATGACCCCCCGGGGTGGGGCTAATTTGGACCCCAGGGCTTTTATTTGAACAAACTTGGTAGACACTCGCTAGAAGATGTTTCATGTTTAATATCTATGCTCTAGCTCTTTGGGTTTTTAAAAGAAGATTTTTAAAGTTTTTTTTTTTTTTGTTGCAATGGCTACCAAAGTTCTGCATCGGAACAATTTTCAAAAATGACCACCAAAGGAACATTCCTGGGAAGTTTCGATGAAATTCGCTTAACAGTTTATGAGGAGATATCGTTGAAAGTAAAAGTAAATGGACGCCGGATGGACGCTGGACAAAAAGCAATCACAAAGCTCACCTTGTCACTTTGTGACAGGTGAGCTTATAATGAGTCATGAGATGATGAGACACTGTTATTACTTACACGAAGGCCTGGGATAACTTTGATATTCTATGAGCTTCAGCAAACATCTGCAGTATTCTGTGATCTTTCAATGATAATGAACCATAGATATCGGCAATACTTCTCTATAAAAAAAAAGTAAGTTTTCAGCAAAGCAATGTGCTTTACCTCAACGATAGAAATGTGTTTATTTAGACAAAACATCAATGTAAAAATAATGTGAATTTTGTCTAACTCCACATATACTCCGCATTTTTCAAAAGCCTCAGATTTTACATATAAAGATAGCATGCAGTTGTCCATAATACGTACCTCTTATATGGTAAGTCTACTTGCGTTGATTTTACTAGTAGCGCAAATGTGCTTTTCATATGTTCTTTACCTTTTTCAGCACTTTGCCAATATCTCACTCCTGACTCTACTTATCAATCTGAACTCAATTTTCTATTTTAGTATGAATGACCTGAATTTTTCATTAATTTTATAGGCTGCAAAAAGCAATCCAAAGTGTGGTTTTCAAATAGCCTTGCTATACAATAAGTTTCATTTAAATAACTCATTCCTAAATCTAGTTATTGACCAGGAAACTGATTTTTGTATACATTGCTTGCAATGTATACAGAGTTATAAGCTAAATCTCCACAGGCATCACAGGTTTATTCTATACCGAACAACATCCACTTCCGCATAAAAGATGCTATAGAAACTAGTTCTTTATACTGCTGTATTGTTACATTCCAACTACACATCATTAAAATATTGTTTGCAAAGTTGTTTAAATGCTTAGAAAGTCACAAATCGTTCATGTTCATGAAATAATACATTCCTTTATAGAAAACAAAAAATAACAGTTCATTGATAAAATCGTAGTATACACCTACATGTTAAACTTGGCATACACGCATGCGCATGCTAGCATGAATGAATACATTGTAAATATAGTAAAGTTGTCACAATTATATAAATGAGACAAAACATTGATAGATATTTAATCAAATAAAACTCCTGATTTACATTTATGCAATAAAATTGTCCTAAAATGTTTTACAAAATGAGTATGTAGCTCCGTAACAAAATTTACCTGCGTATCCCGGAAAATGTTGGGCTTTTTTTGGTAACTTGGCAATTATCTTGGCTTCAAAAAATAGAAACATCTTCCTTGTCTAATTCATAACTTTGGAAGAAATAAGCCTTATTTTGAGTCACTTGTTAGGGACATTGAACGTGGTCAGAAGATGACCCCTATTGATTTTTAGGTCAGTAGGTTAAAATCAACATGGCCTTGATGACAAAAATGGATTACATTATCAAGCAATGTATACCTCAGTGCTTTGATTTTCTTTTTTAGTAATAGTGACATTGACCTTTACCGGGGGGGGGGGGGGGGTTGGCTTAAAGCAAAACCAACCAAGGTCTTCACATAAGTGTGCTATACACATATTTCTATTTAAATATCACATTCAAAACGATAGTAATTGAATGGAAATCAATTTATTGGATGTAAAATTGATATACATGTACTTGTAGTTGAGACTAGAAATATGTCATCATGCCACGGATGCCCCCGCATGCAACCAAAATTTCAGATGTTATAATATTTAGTTCCAAATTTGTTTGCACAAATTTTTTTTTTCATTTTAAGTTCAAAGCCCTTAAAACTATTCAATGTTAACACAAACCATTTTTATACAAAGTTCAAGGCACTGAAACTATTCAGTGTTAACCTTTTGTAAATTGCATATGATGCATATTTGTAGCCAAAATAATGGGTACATACATTTCCACAAAAGTACGAGTGCTGAAACTGAAAATTCAAAATTTTTCCAACATTCAAGGAAGATAACTTTGTCCAAAATCATTGAACCACAACCAAATTCAAACTTGAACTGCATATTCCTAAGATGTATCTATATGTCAAATTTGAGTTGAATGTGTACAACCATTGGGGAGATAATGAACGGAAACTTAAAATTTTTCAAAGTTCAAGAGGGATAACTCTGTCAGCTATCATCAAACCAAGACCAAATTTTAACTTGACCAATGCAATCTTATGACATATCCCGATATCTTTAATTTGTTGTTGAACATGTACAACTGTTGGGGAGATAATGAATGTGAACTAAAATTTCCTTTTTGTCAAAGTTAAAGGGGTATAACTCTGCCAAAAATCATCGAACCATGACCAAATTCGAACTTGATCTGTGCATTCCTTTGACATATCCATATGTAAAATTTGAGTTGAATATGTAACACTGTTGGGGAGATTATTTTCAAAGTGAAAGGGGCATTACTCTGCCAAAAATCATTGAACCATGACCCAAATCAAACTTGGCCTGCGCATTCTTTTAACATATCCATATGTAAAATTTGAGTTGAATGTGTAATACTGTTGGGGAGATAATGAACAGAAACTGAAAATTTCATATTATTTTCATAGTAAAAGAGGCATAAGTCTGCCAAAAATCATTGAACCATGACCAAACTCGAACTTGACCTGCGCATTCCTTCGACATATCCATATGTCAAGTTTGAGTTGAACGTGTAATACCGTTGGGGAGATAATGAACGGAAACTGAAAATTTCATATTATTTTCAAAGAAAAAGGGGCATAACTCTGCCAAAAATCATAGAACCATAACCAAATTCAAACTTGACCTGTATTTTCTCATGACATATCCATATGTCAAGTTTGAGTTGAATGTGTTATACCGTTCGGGAGATAATGAACGGAAACTGAAAATTTCATATTATTTTCAAAGTAAAAGGGGCATAACTCTGCCAAAAATCATTGAACCATTACCAAATTTTAACTTGACCTGTGCATTCCTTTGACATATCCATATGTCAAGTTTGAGTTGAATATGTAACACCGTTAAGGAGATAATGAACGGAAACTAAAAATTTCATATTATTTTCAAAGTAAAAGGGGCATAACTCTGCCAAAAATCATCGAACCATAACCAAATTAAAACTAGACCTGTATTTTCTCATGACATATCCATATGCCAAATTTGAGTTGAATGTGTGCAAGATAATGAACGGAAACTGATGATGACGGAATGACAGAATAACGGAAGGACGAAATGACGGAACAGGGTAACACTATATGCGCCAGCCATTATATGGCGGGGGCATAAAAAACTCCCATACCACAAAGGAAAGATATAATGATAAGTTTTGATGTTTTTACTCCTGCTCTGTCCTATCAACAGAATATTTTTTTAGTTTGCTTTCCTCAGCCTTTTAATACAAGTTTCATGGTATTTAAATTGACAGGATACCATTGTGACAATTCCTAGGCTACTCATAGCTCAATTTGTATATGTAGATGTAAATAAATTGTTTGTTTGTTTCATTTTACGCCTTTTCCCAACAGTATTTCAGTCATACAGGCGGGTACTTTCCTAACCATCGTTCCTGGAGAGTTACACCAGTACTAGACTACCTTCCTCCGTGCTAAACTACCAAAGCATCTCCCGGGGATCGAACCCACGCCAGAGAGGTAACTGGATTAGAAGTCATCGACTCTAACCCCTCGACCACGGAGGCGGTTAGATGTAAATAAAAACAAATGACAAGATTACAGTGCATTTCCAACTGGATTAGGTTTTCTGAATCCTGACTAATGTATATGATGTAGTTACACATATAGTTAATAATCAATATCGTCAGAATGACAGTTTACATGAAGACAACCAATGTCTGAAAATATTTAATACATGTAGTGTGATAATTCTTCTTTGTTTTTTTTACTAATAATATCATAAAAGCTAATGTCAACCTAGGGTATAATTTGTACCACTGATTACTTCAATTTTGTTAATTTCAATATGAATTTTTATATTTATTCTTACCGAAGTCTTTGATTTCATGTATGTGTACTGCAGGAACTGTCTATAGGCTTGGTAGTAATCTTCACTGGAGAACTGATAGGCTTCCTCAAAATCCTAGACAATAACATAAACTTTACATGTATTTTACATTAATAAGAACATTTTTGTTGAAGTATCTAAAGCTATATGTTTCTTTTAAAAAGTTAAGCAAGTACAATATAATAATTTCATAATATAAGGAAGATAAGACATATATAAAGACTTTATTAAATCTGAAACTTAGCTGTATAATTTAATTTTTGTTAACCTGCTTGTAAGAAATGCCCATTTTTAAATGACATTTTCCAATAGCTTTCGATCTTCCTTTCGTTCCCATTAACATGATATCATACCATTCATCTGTTCCCAATGCTGCAATGTCCTGTAAAATATACACAATTCTAACATACTCATTGGTGTTTATTTATAATTAGATGTACACAAATTTATATACTCACAGGTGTTTAAATATACACAATTCTAACTGACAAACTTTCTGCTTTTTAAACGAAATAAATTTCAAATACTCAATGATGTTTAAACAGTTAAATACACAAAATTATAACATACTTATAATTATAACATCATTGGAGTTTGAATGAATACTAACATATACAATGTTGTTTGAATATAAACAAGGCAGTCTGAAGCACAGCTTAATCCCCTTCCGCAGCAGACATGAATGTGTACTTCTTGACATTTAACCAACCATGACCTTGATGTTGTGCCATAATAACATTTAAGTCTGTATCAGTTATTGACCAATTATCTTCAACATTTATTTAGTAGATACTTTTAAAGATCCTCTTATTTTGTTTGAATTTTTAGGTCAAGGTCTTGGTAACCATGGTTAATTTTATACAAGTTTTTATTGACAAGTTTCTTACATATTCTGTGTATCATGCTTTAGGCAAAATTGCTGTTCTGTGGGCATAGTGTTAAGTCCTGTTTTAACTTATAATACTTTGTTTGTCTCTTATATATTATACGTTATAGTTTTCATGTTTTACAAATCATTCAGGTGAGAATTACAAGACGGCTGGTTATGTAGCCATCTGGTTGCCCTCTGCAGGTGATGATGGTGATCCTTTGTGCCAAAAAAATTAAAAATTTATGAAGAGGACACAAAATTGTTGAATTTTAACATTTGACCTGTATGTGCAACATAGACCTTGGGGGGTAGTGACCTGAATATTGCACTCCACACATGATGTCATTAAGGTCACCATATGTGCAAAGTCATTTTAAAAGCTTTTCAGTAGTTTAAAAGTTTAGGACAGGAAATTGTGGACTTTATCATTTGACCTTTAAGTGTGACCATGACCTTTGGAGGTAGCAACCTGGATGTACCTTCGGGGTAGCAACCGAGATGTTGCGCTCTGCAAATTGTGTCATGGTGGGGATCATTTGTGCTAAGTAATTTTAAAACCTTTTAATTGTCAATAAGTAATAGAGTGGACATGAAAAATAGATGTTTTCACAGACAGGAAAATGTGGACTTTATCATTTGACCTTAAAGTGTGACCTTGGTCTTGAGGGTATTGACTTGATTGTTGTGCTCTGTACATCGTATCATAATGATGATCCTTTCTGTTAAGTTATTTTTAAACATTGCAGCAGATTAAATGTTGTGGAGGGGACACAATATGCAGTTTTTTTCACCTTTAAGTGTGACTGTAACCTGTGGGTAGCAACCCAATAATTGCGCTCTGCACATTGTCTCATAATTTTGAACACTTGTGTCAAGTTTTCAAAATATTCTAAAAGTTATGGAGCAGACAGGAAAGTGCTTTGGATGGATGGAGGAATGGACGGAGGGAATAACAGACGAAGGCCTTTCCTAAATCCCCCTCCCCAAATTGTGAAAGCGAATTAACTAGAGCTATCACTAAAGGTGATTCATACCCCTACCAGCAACCAAGACATATTTGAAAGCATAATTTGAACTCAACCTAAAATTTATGATATTTTAACTGTGTACAAATAATTATAACAATAAATTGTCTATCTTCTAGAAACCTTTTTTCACTTGTTACTAACAGTGACCTTGAACCTAGTGGGGTCCTACAACAATCCCAAGCTAAGTCTCTTCAAAAGCTGGCTAAATGTCAAGTTGTTACAATATCTCATTCCTACTTCTTTTAATTGTCCAAAACAATTTTGAAGTAACAGTGAGCTTAACCCCATGGGGATCCAAAAGCAATCCTAACCTATGAGGTATGTTGAAAAAGCTTGTGGACTTTTGCTGTCATTTTTTACTTGGTTCATAAAAACAACCTGAGTTGATATGAATTGAAAGTGTATCTTTATTTCTAAAAGTAAGTTTTACTTTTATCTTAAACCTTTACTTCCTTTACGAATTATGTGCACTTTAATAACCATGGCAACGCAACATCGGCGCACGTTGAAATTTCCCTACTATGTTTAAATATAAACAAATGTTGAAATAAATTGAACGGCTATTTCACCAGGTAAAATCGGGGTAAACATCTATTAATATTTAATTGACATAAATCTGAAATTCGACGTCATTTGGACGTTGAATGACTAAACAAACAAGTTTTGAGTGGCAGTAGTCAGCATGGCGTAAATTGCGAAATAAAAAGCCCATTTCGCATTTCGGAAAGTTTTGCCATCAACTTGCTGAATCTCATTCACTTCCATATGAGGTGTTTAATTTAACAAAGGGAAATGAGTCAGCGAGCAAGTCATTCGGTTTCAACTGGCGCAAGCTATTAAAAAACGGCGAATACATGATCACAGACAGAAAGGGGCGAGGGAGAAAGCGGCGAATTGTCAGGACGTTTGTAACGTCAATTGCAAAAGTTCTAGAAGAGGATGTACAATATGAAAGGTTTGCATTAGCTTCCGGCATGTTTAATTTCTGCATCGGGTCTACACATTCAATTCTGACCAAACAATTAGATTTAAAGAATATTTTATTTTATTCATCAGGATATACCAGGGGTTATCCAAAAATTCATGGACTTTCTTTGTTGCTTAAAATATATTTGAAATATTAATTTGAAATTTTTACACTGCTTAGAATAATTAATAACAAATGTACACAGAAAAATTCATGTTAATAGCTTCTTATATTACAACAATATTTAATATTTAATTTTACATGTCGGTGACTCCAAAAAGTTATTGACGTTAACGTCATAATAACGTACAACTTGTGCTTCAACAATAGGCAGTCAATGACGTTACTGCTTCTCAAAGTAAAGTCCATCACTAAATTTCTTATGCCAGTTAAACACTAATGATTGTGAAATCTTATTTTCTCTGTTCTTCTGCTGATTTTTATCAAATGTTTTTGCAGGTGTCATTACCAAATTACAACAAAATTTTGTAATCTTTTTATGATCGCGCGATTTTCTAATTACAGCGTGTCCGTCATTTTCCCATTGTAAACAATGTCGGGGTTAATTTTTTAGTTTTTTAGCAAGAAATATAAGATTACTTACTGCGCTTTTCTACCGTGCGCCGGGTGACATGTATGAGCTTATTCAAAAGCAATATAAAATCATTATTTATTGACACAGTTAACTGTTTCTTTCAAAATGTGTTGATAATATTCTAAAATGTATGCTGATAAAATTGTATTACAACACACGTTGACGTTCAAGAGATATTTAAAAAGTCCACAAATTTTTGGATAACCCCTCGTATGAGTATTTATAAAAAACAAGATATGTTTGTAAAACATGTATGCCCCCTATCAGCAGCCAATTAGTCATGTGATAAGGTTATTATGCATGACTTCTGACCCAGTGATCAAACAATTAATAAGGGTTATCAAGTATCTACTGGTCATGACCTTGACCTTTGACCCCTTGACCCAAAACTCAATAGGGGTCATCTGCTGGTCACGACCAATCATCATACAAAGTTTGAAGTTCCTAGGCCTAAGCGTTTTTAGTTAATTGATCAGAAACCGTTTTTACCTACAAGGTCAATGTGACCTTGACCTTTGACCCCTTGACCCCAAAATCAATAGGGGTCATCTGCTGGTCATGACCAATCACCATGCCAAGTTTGAAGTTCCTAGGCCTAAGGGTTCTTTTATTATTGATCGGAAACCGTTTTAACATACAAGGTCAAAGTGACCTTGACCTTTGACCCAAAAATCAATAAGGGTCATCTGCTGGTCATGACAAATCACCATGCCAAGTTTGAAGTTCCTAGGCTGAAGCGTTCTTTAGTTATTGATCAGAAACCGTTTTTACTTACAAGGTCAATGTGTATTGACCTTTGACCCCTTGATCCAAAAATCAATAGGGGTAATCTGCTGGTCATGACAAATCACCATACCAAGTTTGAAGTTCCTAGGCCTAAGCGTTCTTAAGTTATTGATCAGAAACCGTTTTTACTTACAAGGTCAATGTAACCTTGACCTTTGACCCCTTGACCCAAAACTCAATAGGGGTCATCTGCTGGTCACGACCAATCATCATACAAAGTTTGAAGTTCCTAGGCCTAAGTGTTTTTAGTTTATTGATCGGAAACCGTTTTTACCTACAAGGTCAATGTGACCTTGACCTTTGACCCCTTGACCCCAAAATCAATAGGTCATCTGCTGGTCATGACCAATCACCATACCAAGTTTGAAGTTCCTAGGCCTAAGGGTTCTTAAGTTATTGATCGGAAAGCATTTTTACCTACAAGGTCAATGTGACCTTGCCCTTTGACCCCTTAACCCCAAAATCAATAGGGGTCATCTGCTTGTTATGACCAATCACCATACCAAGTTTGAAGTTCCTAGGCCTAAGGGTTCTTTAGTTATTGATCGGAAACCGTTTTTACCCAAGAGGTCAATGTGACCTTGACCTTTGACCCCTTGACCCCAAAATCAATAGGGGTCATCTACTGATCATGACCAATCACCAAATCAAGTTTGAAGTCCCTAGGCCTAAGGGTTCTTTCGTTATTGATCGGAAACCGTTTTTACCTACACAAGGTCAATGTGACCTTGACCTTTGACCCCTTAACCCCAAAATCAATAGGGGTCATCTGCTGGTCATAACCAATCACCATACCAAGTTTGAAGTTCCTAGGCCTAAGGGTTCTTTTGATATTGATCGGAAACCGTTTTTACCCAAGAGGTCAATGTGACCTTGACCTTTGACCCCTTGACCCCAAAATCAATAGGGGTCATCTACTGATCATGACCAATCACCAAATCAAGTTTGAAGTCCCTAGGCCTAAGGGTTCTTTCGTTATTGATCGGAAACCGTTTTTACCTACACAAGGTCAATGTGACCTTGACCTTTGACCCCTTAACCCCAAAATCAATAGGGGTCATCTGCTGGTCATAACCAATCACCATACCAAGTTTGAAGTTCCTAGGCCTAAGGGTTCTTTTGATATTGATCGGAA